ATATATATACACACACACACACACACACACCTGTGCACTGGTCAATTTTCCTGATTTTTTCAAAATCATCCCTTTGACTATTAAACCAGCATTTTCTTGCTCTTTGTAAATCTAAAATATAAACAACAAACTCCAATCTGCAGAATTCAGAATCACCTTCAAGAATTTAGATAGTGTTCAATTCAAGCCTTAGAATTTTTGACCAAGCTATTGAACAATTATAAGATAAACAAGTGTGTTCACACTATACTTCAATTTAAAATTCACTTTTCTGTACAGTAAGTAAGAATTTACTGTTTCGAGTCTCCAGATCGAAGGTCTTCTGTGGAAATTCAGGGTTCAGTGGAGACGCTGTACTCTCATCAAGCAAAAAGACATCATTCTCGCTTGTCCTGTCAAGCTGTGGAGCTTTCCACTGGCTGAAAGGATCGAACAGGAAGTCCTCCTTCTTTGAGAAAACATCATTGTCATCCGCCTCATGCGTCGGTGCATCGGGAGGCTTCTCTGCAGCGAGGACATTGTCCTTGAAACAGAAATCATTTAAAGAGTGTCATCAACATAAAATTGTATATATTTTACTAGTTTCCAAGAACTATGATTTGCCATATTCTTCATGTGAGAGAGTTAGCAGAACAGTATAAATGCACACTCATCTCATGTTTACTTTAATTTTTTATCAACAGTAATACAGCTGGATGCTTGTACTTTGTAAGATGGTCGATACTTTAAGGAAATGAACATATATAGAACATGTACCGATAATTTTAAGTATGTTTAAGTTCGACTCACCATGTTGTCAAAGGTGTCAAATGGTTGACTTGTTGATTTCACAGGAGGCAACAAGTTCTCTGCTGCAGAAAGAAACAGGATCAGTTAGAGTTGAAGATCTGTCTGATGGAATATATTTATTTGTTATCGTGAAAAAGAGTAAAATGGATTTGCACTCAGTTTTGTTTTGAACTGAGCTTTAAATAGTTTTTGGTTTTATTTGAGTTGTTAAAACCTTATTATTTATTTCTCAATAATAATATTAAAACACTTGAGGTAAAGTGTCGGGTATGGTACCATTCTCCAACAGCAGTGGGTCACCCTGTGTCTCCAGGCTATTGTTGGTCATGAAGTTGTCTTTGTGCAGAGCCTCAGTGATGTAGTTGCGGAAGTCAGTGATGGTGTAGACAACAGTGGGCTGCTCAGCGGAACCAGGGTAGTTCTTCTCCACAAGGTTGTTCTGCAGAGAGATGAAATCCAACGTGTCGTTGGCAATCCCACTCCCATCCACCTCCAGAGTGATGGCATAGTGCACAAGGACCACCAAACCCCTAAGAGGACAAAAACAGGACTGGTCAGCTTGTTTCACGATACTACAGGAACCTGAATCTCATCAGGTTAGTTTGGTAGGGAATTATCAGGCAACATTGGGAAATTATCTTGACATCAAGATGTTTTTTCTACACTAACCCAATGCCGCTGAATCTTTGATTTTATTTATTTTTTGCTGTGTTTTACTTGGATCTATTTGAAAGAGTAAGTGTAAACACAAAAAAATATTTTATTTTATATGCTGAAATATGCAGAAAATAGGTTTAAATGTTAAACAAATTTCTTCAAGTTGCATATAACTAATTTTTTGCTTGATGCAATGTGCATAAAGTTAAAAGATTAAAACTGTTAAAATAATTTTTAAAAAGAGACTTTCATTTGATTCAATTTTATATGATAGATTATGCAGAAAAAATGAATTGGGTTGAAATGTCTGTATTCAGGGTGTTGTATAATGTTTTTATAAAGTAATAAAGTAACTAATTACTTTTTAAAATAAGTAATCAGTAAAGTAACGGGATTACCTCCTTGAAGAAGTAATCACTAATTGGTAGCTAATTACTATTTTCAAGTAACTTGACCAACAGTGATCAAGACATTATCTGGAAATGTTAAAAAAATGTTGCTTTATTATCCATAAATTATCACAATGTCAATTAAGATAAATACTGGCAAATTATGAGATTATCACTAACATCTGAGGAAATTATATCCACTGCAGTTCTTAATAAAACCTACAAGTTATAAGGCTATATTTAGTGAAAAGAGTAACTTTTTACTGATGTCTGATAATGTTGTTTCAGCAGTTTGTTTCTTTAAATCACAGCTGACATGCAAACATCTATAATCTGATGATTTTACAGCCTGACTGTTTTCCTCCTGCAGCTCTCAGAGTTCAGGTAGCTTTAGGGGCTCACAAAGACAGACTAACCTGAGGTGGGGTTTCCCGGACAGAATAACAGTGAGCCTGTCATAAACCTTTAACGGTAACACTACAGGGTCTACAGGTGGCCTGAAGCTACCCAACGACTTATCCCACTTAAGAGGTGACTGTTGGTAAAGACATTAAGCGGCAAGTAGAGCAGAGCTACAGCAGAGCCGTTATTTACTTCAAAGGGTAGGTCACAGGGGTTGTGAAGACATGATGACGTGGAGAGCATGACATTTGGACTCATAATCTACAGGGTAGCTTATCTCCACACGAGCTTTGAGAAGTTACTTTACTGTATTGTCTGTATCAGGTAGCAAATCTATAAAATCAGGGGATAATAGAAAAACTAACTTACCGCTCCAGATCCTTCTGGGGTCTGAAAAAACAGGCAAAACACAACATAATATAACTAAAACAATAGTCAATGACTTATTTTAAAATTTGTATCTTTTCTTTAGCAAAACTAATTTTACATGAGGGCTTGATAGGTGCTCTTTTTGTACTGTATGCCAGCTGAATTGTACCTGAATTCCACAATGTAAACCGTCTTGAAGCCCGGCACTCTATGAAAGGCGTCTTCAATCTGTTTGTCGAAGAAAGGAAGAAAACATGAGTGAAAACCTCTAACATCAGAGTCAAACCAGACTTTTGTGAGGCCAAGTTAGCAACTTATAACATATATATATATATATATATATATATGTGTGTAAAAATAAAGCCCTTTTATGAGATCACAGCTTTTTCTATTGGTTGAACAACAAGTGGGTGAGGCTTCTGTTTCTCAAATGACTATATTAGGGGATATCCATTTTTAGGATGTCGTGCAAAACCAAGGGTAGAAAAACATTGTGTGGAACTGAGCATTTAGAAAAGTCTGAAACTCACAGAGATTTCTTATATGTACACTGACCTCAGTGCACTCTAGGTATAATCCAGGTTCTGTTTCTAGTAGAATAGGCCTGAAACACCTTATCCAGGAAGTGTTCAGCACCAAATCATCATGTTAAATCATCCGAGTGGTCACAAGAGCCAAGTTTATAGTTTCACAAGGCAGACTGGTCCTAGGTGTGAGGCTAGACTAAGAGTGATTATGAATATCACTATGATAAGTTATTCTGCCTAGAACAAAGTTACCAAGCACCTTACTCTAGTCCCAGGCCAGGGTGAGTAGCTTAGGATTGACTGCCTGGTTGAACGAGCCTTAACCCATGGGCTTCAGTGTATTATGGACTGAGCAGTCAGGGCATGATATTAGAGGCAGAGCTGATGTTGTTTTGCTCGGAACTGCTAAAGAACTGATGAATATTTCTGGAGAGAAGGTGGACTTCTCATTTGTCAGACAGTCTCATAGTTGAGATGAAAATAATCTCTTTAAATTACTTTTGGCTGTGAAATGTGTGCAGCTAAAAGCTGCAACGAAGGATGAGTGGACTCAAACTGTCAGAGAAAGAAACATTGACCTTTACTTAAGACTGCAATCTGTAAAGATTTAATACACTGTGAATAATTAACTATATAAATATATGGCTTTAAGTTGTAAGAGTGGAAGTAAGTCTTTTTCCATATGAGTATTGTTCATGTCAGCCCTTTTTCTGCTTTAAATTATCAAGATGTTTCAAGATGGCGCCGAGTATGGCAGCCTCGTCGCGAGCTCCCCCAAGCAACGGCTTTCTTCTGTGTTTAATTTTACTTTTCCTTTATTTTTTCACGAGCAGTCTCCTTGTGTACGACCGACAAACCTTACTGGACATAAAAGACGGTCTTTCTTATAACTTTCCGGAGTTCAAGTTTTGCAACACGGACGCTCCGTTTGTAGACCCCCCATTCACACCTGGAGAAGAGAGACACGTATGTGAGAATGCTGTTTGTAGATTACAGCTCAGCATTCAATACCATCGTTCCCTCGAAGCTGGACAGGAAACTGCAGGATCTAGGACTGAGCAGCTCCCTCTGCAGCTGGATCCTTAGCTTCCTGTCTGACAGACGCCAAGTGGTCAGACTGGGCAGCATCACCTCATCCCCCATCACACTGAACACTGGTGCTCCACAGGGGTGTGTACTGAGCCCTCTCCTGTACTCACTCTACACCTACGACTGCACAGCCACTAACAGCTCCAACATCATTGTGAAGTTTGCGGACGACACTACAGTGGTGGGTCTTATCACCAATGGTGATGAGACGGCTTACAGGGAGGAGGTCAGCGCCCTGACCCACTGGTGTCAAGACAACCATCTCACCCTCAACGTCGCAAAGACAAAGGAGTTGATAGTGGACTTCCGGAGGTGCAGAGAAGTACACACCCCCATCACCATCAACGGCGCTGCTGTGGAGAGAGTGAGCAGCTTCCGGTTCCTTGGTGTACATCTGGCTGAGGATCTTACGTGGTCAGTACACACAAACAAAACAGTGAAGAAGGCGCAGCAGCGCCTCTTCTTTCTCAGGAGACTGAAAAGATTCGGCATGAGCCCCCGCATCCTCAGGACCTTCTATCACTGTGCCATTGAGAGCATCCTCACTGGATGCATCACCACCTGGTATGGCAACAGCACCGCCTACAACTGCAAAGCTCTCCAGCGAGTAGTGCGGTGCTCTGAACGGATAATTGGAGGTGAGCTTCCCTCCCTCCAAGACATCTACAGGAAGCGCTGCCTGAGGAAAGCGGGGAGGATCATCAAGGACTCCAGTCACCCCAGCCATAAACTGTTCAGACTACTTCCATCAGGAAGGAGGTTCTGCAGCATCCGGTCCCGTACCAGCAGACTGAGAGACAGCTTCTTCCACCAGGCCATCAGACTGCTGAACACGTCATAGACACCTCAGCTTCACTACTGGAACTTCAACATTATGCACTCCACACTGTATATAAATGCCACTTGTTTTGCACATATTCAACTCTGTATATTTTATATATTTTATTATTATTATTATTATTATTTATTTTTTTTTTTTTTACTATTTAATTTGTAAAAATGTGTATACACACACACACACACACACACACACGTAGGAAAATATTTAGTATACACATCCAGAAATGCATACACTATTATATATTGTACATATATTTATTAGTTTCAGGTTGGCCATTCTTGTATTTTGCTCGTTTGTGTTGTTGTGTTTGCACATCTCTGTTGCTTGTGGGGCTCGCACACAAGAATTTCACTCGCATGTGCTGTGCCAGTGTGCCTGCACATGTGATGTGACAATAAAAGTGATTTGATTTGATTTGAGAAAAATGATCTGCTGATGGTGAGACGTACTCTGAAGACCTGCTAATGTTCATAAAGCTGGAGGTTTATACAGTCTTCTCAGAGAGTGACCACTGTGTGCATTTTTAAACACGTATTAGCTCTTCAAGTTGGAAGTCTTCCCACTTTGTAAAACCATCATGGAAAGACATAAACTGATAAATGGTTGGCCATTCGGTTTCTTGATGCCCAGTTAAAGTCATGCTTATCTGGATAAAAAACAGCATTTTGCATTTGCACTCTGCTTCTTCTTCTTCATGTGTGTTTCTGTGCTGCAGCAGAGCTCCTGCTGTTTCTATTATCCATTTCATACTCCCTCATTAACAAGCCTGACCCCGATACTTAAACCATAAACTGCCTTCCCGCGTCACTAACGTGGAGTGGAGCCTGAAAGCCTCCCGGCAGTTCGGGAACTCACCAGCGCTCTGCTTTCCTGGCAAAGCAGCTTTTTTTCCAGCAGCTCGTGGTGACTCACTGCTCGTATACTGTACTGTGTGTCCTCTGCAGTTTTCCAGCTCTGTTTCTGCCTCATCGGCTCATATAGCCGATTGCTGGCAGGGGGGAGGAAACTGAGCTCAAAAGCGTGAAGAATCCGAATGCGTGAAAAACAGGCAAAAGCCTTTAAAGACACAGCCAAACTCCTGAGTCTGCAGTTTGTGGGAAACCACAAGCAAGTCAGTTTGGTGATGAGTAAGTATGGTGGACGTCAGAGAAAGTAGTTAAAGAGAAGGAAGGAGGGAAGAAGAGGTGTCAGCAGGAAGCACAGAACCAAAACAAGGAGGAACAAAGTTAAAAACATTCTGAGATAAAAATCATTTCCAGAAAATCCCTGCTGTTTCCAACATAAAATAGCTCACAGAGTACAAACAACAATCATTGAGAAGGAGATGCTCCTCTTTTTAGGCCCCTAGACTCTAAACTGCTACTTTCATATGTTTGCATTTGCTTTGAACAACTTTGTGTTCAACAGACAAAAACTACAGTTACATTAAACAGGTCTCCTGGCACCTATAGCCCCAGGTACAGTGACTTGACCCATGTGTAAAGGGTTAGATAAACCGACACCAAGTAAGTAACAAAGATTGCAGTTCCTCTAATGCAAGGCTGGGGAACTCCAGGCCTCAAGGAACAGTGTCCTGCAGATTTAAGATATTACCCTGGGTCAACACACCTAAATCAAATGATTAGTTTATTACCAGGCCTCTGGAGAACTTAAAGACATGTTGGGGACGTAATTTAGCCATTTAAATCAGGTGTTTTGGATCAAGGACCCATCTAAAACCTGCAGGACACCGGTCCTTGAGGCCTGGTGTTCCCCCACCCCCCTGTTCTAATGTCTACTTGAGGCTGGCTCCAGCAGTGATTCAGTGTTAGAATATCCACCTTTACAGCAGAAATACACATGTTTACCTGATACAAAAGCCTGTTACAAAAAAAACCCTAATTTCCCCCTTCATAACAACTATACAGGGGATAATTTTTATAACTCATCTGTTTAAATTGTATTAAGACTCAAGGTTTATATTATTAGAGGCATGACCTCGTAGACTGGCAGACAGATGATGACATATGGAGCTGTAGCTGCTAGCTGTCTTCCAGGCTTTGTGTCAGCAAATCGATTCCCTAGGATAGACTGTGTTTGTGCTGTTGAGCTTTTTGGAGCATTTTAAATGTAATTGTGTGAGTACTAGTATGGCTGTTCTATGCTTAATTGTACTAATAGGCCATTCAAGAAGTCTCTTTTGGTGAGCGAAATTTTGGGATTTTATTTATATGTTAATTAGCACAAATGTACAAGTATTTGTGTCAGCTTGCTGAGAAAACTAGCTAGCATTTGCCAATAATTTGGGACTCCACTCTGACTTTGACATTTTCACTTCCTACTCCAAAAAAACACCGCACCACCAGACCTAATATTAAGCCTTAAAAAGAGTTTTCAAATCCATTTCACTCACTGAAATAAACTCAATTAAATAGCTGCACTGATTTCATGAAAGATTGACCACAGATTCTAAGGTTCTTCTTCAGATTTGTTGAGTCATTAATATTTGCATTAATATTCTTGGTTTATATGAATGAAAAAAGAATCACACTCCTTCTCCTACTCTTTTTCATTTGACATTTTTGGCTGTTATCTAATGCAAAGAATTTGCAGTCAAGCATATAAAATTCTTTAGAAAAATATCCGTGAGTATACTCTTAATGCTGTATACAAGTCACTGTACAGGTAATGACTACAGCAGGTATGTTGATATCTCAGAAAGTCATGTATATCCAACCCAACATTTCATAGTGGTAAAGCATCTTAAAAAGTGCACATTACATGGCATGTCTGCACAGACCCCTTCATATATAGAGCAGATTGAAAATATAGTTGACTCACCCTGCGTTTGAAGTGTCTGGCCAGCTGCTGATACTCAAAGCTGCTTGGGTCTCTCAGCGCATCGTTGTAGGTTTCCTCTTTCAGTTTCATGCTCAACTCTACCACCTCATCCTTCAGGGGCCTCGGGGGCAGAAGTAACGTGTCTATCTCATTGCCAATCTAAATTTGAAGGTAGGCATACGGATATGGGGTTGGTACTGGAATGTCATGTATGAAGGGATTACCTCAAGTCATCTGATTAAACATATCTTCTTACCAAGTTCTCCTCCTCATCCTCCAACTTGAAGCCATTGTTTCCAAAAAAGTTGCCATTTACGTCATAAACCCTCTCTGTAAGATCGGGAAAGTTACCATTATTGTATTCGACCACATACTTGGTCGTAACCTCCAAATAGGAAGTAGGGGTAGACTCCTCAGTGGCACCCACTGTAGTACTTTGTGTTCTCTCTTCAGTGAAATCCACAACTGTTTCTAGGGTGATGGAATCAACTGACTCAGGTGCCACTTCTAGTGGAGTCTCTGTTAAGATTTCATCCACTTCTTCAGTTGGGGAGTCACCCTCAGCTGATTCTTGATCAGGGTCTTCTAAAGCTACCGGGATACTGCCCTCATCTGAGGCACCATCTTCCTTACTGGGAAGCTCTTTAGGAGACTCTGGGGTGACCCCCTTAGGGGTTTCTACCTCTGAAATTGTGCCTGGTTGGGCATCAGTGACAGCTTTTGGAGATGTTTCAAGTGGAGCCTTTGAGATTTCTTCCTCACTTCCCACTTCAGATCCACCTGGAGGTTCCACTGTTATCTCAGGTGCAGATGTCTCTGTGTCTTCTGGAACAACAACAAGCACAGGAGTGATTTCTTCATCAGATTCTGAAGGGGTCTCTGTAACTTCTGGTGAAGTTTCATCTGTTTCTGGATCTTCAAATCCAGCTTCTTTCTCCATTACCTCATCTAAGCTCTCAGAGGCAGCTTCTTCTCTGTCCTCAAATGTTTCCCCTTCAGCTGCTTCTTGAGTTTTATTGACAGATGTTAAAACAAAATCAGGTTTATCATCCTTCGTTATTATTTTGGGTTTTGATTGTTCTATAGATTGTCTTGTTGGTTCATTTTTTTCACCAGTTTCTTTTATAGATTCAATTTGGGCTGGTTCTGTTGTGGGTTGTGTTTTTTCTGTAGTATCTTTGATGAGTTCGCCTTCTCTTGGTTCTTCTGTGGGTACTGCTTTGAGTTCTGGTCCTTCTGCTTCTTGAACTGGGTCATTTTTGAGTTCAGGTTTCACTGTCATTTCTTCACTTAGTTCTGTTTTTCTTGTCGGTTCTCTCTTGGGTTGTGGTGACTTCTCATGAATCTCTTCTACGGATTTGGCCTCTGTCACTGGTTTTTCTATTAGTTTTGTCTTTTCTGTGGTTTCTTTAACAGGTTCCAGTTCTTGTGCCAATTCTTCCAGAGGTTTAGTCTCTTCTCTGATGACTTCTACAAGTTCTACTTGTTCTGCTGGTTCTATTGTGGGCTCAGTCTCCTTTGTTGTTTCTTCTATGGGTTTGACATCCTTTGTAGTCATTTCTGAAGGTTCTACTATATCTACAATTTCTTCCACAGGTTTGAGAGGTTCAGGTTCATGTAAAGTTTCCACTAAAAGTTTTGGTTGTTCTGTAGTTTCTTCCTTTCTTCCTTCCTCCTGTACAGTTTCTCTAAAGTCATCACTCGTATCATCTTCATCTTTAACTGGTTCTCCTGTAGCTTCTGATATTTTCCCTTCTATCTGTGTTACATGTTTTTCCTCTTCAAAAGGTATTTCTACAACTACCTCAGCTCTTTCTTCTTCTGTTTTGTCTGTTGCAACATCGTCTGAGGTTATTAATGTAGTCTCCATTATAACTGTCGCCTCTTCAGCTTTTTTGTGTAGTTCTTTTGCTGCTGCTTCTGGTGCTGTTACTGTTTGAACTGCAACTTCTTCAGCAACTGTACCTTTTGGCCCTTCTACACCAGTCTGTGTTATTTGTTTAGTCCTATCTACCAGAACAACCTCTTCTTGTTTGACTTCTGCTTTTACCTCCTCTTTTGACACCACTGGTATTTCTTCTTTGCTGTGTTCCTTGGATGTAGTTATCTGTATTGTTGGCGGTTCCTCTGTGACACTATATTTTTCACCTTTGTTATGTTCTAATATTAGAACAGGCTTAGAAGTAACCTCAGCCATTAGTGTTGGTTTGTCCTTTGGAGTGTATTCAACAACTGTTACTTCCATCTTATGTGTTGTCATCAGAATTGAGGCCTGGGAGGGGACTTCTGTTTCTACATTTGAGGCAGATCCTTGTTTTGGAGTCACATTATTGAATATTTCAGCTTCTTCTTCTGCATCTGTTATCAGTAATACAGTTTCTGTTGCTTCTGTGATGACTTTGGTTACGTCTTGGCTCACCTCTACAACTGCCTTTGAAGGATGTTCTACTGGAGGTGCATGTATTTTGCCTTCAGCTTCTTCAGGAATTGGAAGTGGTATTGCTTCATCAATTGGCTCTTGTAAATTCTCTGAGGGTTTCTCTACAAAATCCTCAGTGAAAGTTTTGTCATGGATATCCAGAGATTTTTCTGGAATTTGTTTAATTTCTGTCTCAACAGCATCTTCCGTGGTTGCTTTAGGGATGTGCTGTATCATGACTTCTGAAGGAGCCTCAGAGGTCACCTTCGGATGTACCTTCTGCCCTAATTCCTCCAATGTGATAGTTTCTGATGCTGTGGTGGGCTTCTGAAGAACCAAAACAGTTTCTTCTGTGGGTGCTTCATGGGCCACAACCTCTAATGGAGGTTTCTCACCTTTTGGGGTAACTTCCTGAATGACCTCAGAGTCAACTATGATCACATTTTCAGGGATGATCCCAATGATCTTGTCATCTTCAACTACAGCCTCCTCCTTATCTGATATTTCAGGGATAGTTTTGTCTTCCCCAATTTCCTGATCGATCCAATTTAAAGGCTTATGTGTAACAGCGTAATCAGCCTCTGTTGCCACCTCCACAGAATCCTCAAGCAGGCCCCCAACACTTAAAACCTCAGTGTTAATGTGTGCCGTAGACTCTTGATGTGGACCTTTAGTCACAGAGACCGGAGGAACCCAAGAAGTGACCTCAAGATCTACAGTAAGATCGTCTTGCTTGATTGTGATTGTCTCTGATCCAATGATGATGTCACTCTCTCCTATAGTTGCAAAAAAGAAGAGAAAACTTAAAGGAGGAGGACAAAGAAAAGGTAGCATTTTAAGCATTACAACCAAATTCTACTGCAGAATTTTTAAATTTTGCTCACCTTATTGTTGATACACTAATCTCGAATACAACAAATAACAACACCAAAACATTTCTGTATATATATTTAACTTATCAGATATCCTAAATGGGTTCTTTGTAACAATGAGGGTAAGTATAAAATGCTTAAAAGAACTGAAGAGAAGAGCACCAGTTTTTAAGAAATACTCAGTTTATCCTCGCTATTGCAGTTTTCAGCTTCATAAAACAAGGTGTGTCCTTTGCCTCCTTGTTCCTGCTTGTAATTGACATTGACTGCAGAGCTGAAGAATGTTACTTAACAATGCTAACCTGTGACCTAAAGTTCCACTGGAAGTCTGCCATGTTTTCCCTCTGGATAAAATAACTTCCAGGTCTGCCAACAAGTAACTAATCCTTAAAATGATCTGCTAAAAAAAGGCTGCAATTCATGACTTCTGACAGCAGGGGTTCTGTTGAGAATCTCATTGAGATCTGGGGACTATCATGAACGTCACAGACTTCATGAACCAAGAGTGTCATGAAAACATTCTGCAGTTTTCTTTCTATTGGATGTCAATGTGAAGACCTCATAGCCGATGCACTTTGACAGAAATCATACTGATGATGACATGAAACAAAAACAAGGTCAAAATGAACCATCTGTAGCTGTGATTTCACTAACCCTGATAGTTGTCCTGCAGTAACTCTGTCATGTCCACATTTCTGCTCCCAGTCCTCTACTCAGTCTCCATCCATTGACCAGACACTTGCCCGTAAATAGGCTTACAGATCTATTCTGAGAGTGGAGCGTGTCACGGGAATCAGCCTCCTGCACACACTCCTACTTCACATAAGTCAGATTTGGTTGTAAGGTGAGTGACTGCGGCTGCTGACACTTTGTGCCACCAATTGGGGTTTCAACAAAGACTTTCAGTGGCTCGTAAAAGAGTCACCAGTAAGGCACTAATCTGTATGCACATCCAGTCCATAGATTCCTTCAGCTAGTTGTAAAGCCCATTCATGAATATTTGTTAGGGCTATGCCAAAGATGGCAAAACATCCCTAAACTAGAAGTTTTTGGCATGCACAGGGGCTTCTCAAATCAGTATTTTTTTTTTTCAATTTATCAGTTTTAAACCAAAGTCCTGGTGGGTTTATCAACTTCCTTGACCGACAATTTATTAGGGTACAATAGATAATGATAACACCCTTCTCTGTACAAGTTGGCTGAGATATATCTTTGGAGATGCATAAATCAAGTAATCAGCAATGGTCCACCTTGTGTACACGTGTAGCCACATGTTGAGGCTACAGTGAGCCGTGATTGGCTTTTGTCCAAAACGTGTTTCTGGACAAAGCTGAGCTTTCTGACCAAACAGAGTAAAAGGCTCTGTCTGCCAAGTTACTAAGTTACTACCAAAAATATCTTCATGTACTTTGTGTTCTTAAAAAAAAAATTGGTCAAAGTTAAGGACGTTTTGAATAACTGGCTTATACTGACCAGAGCACAGAGCTCAAAAGACAAATATTGCCAGATGAACTGATTACCATGATGGGAATTATTTCTGATACACTGGAAAATAACTAAAGCATCTAGTAGTATCTTAAGAATAACTGCTTATTGTATTAAAAGCTCATTAGAACATTGAAAGGGTAATGGAGACTCCCTGATATCAAAAATATTTACCTGGTGAGATCTCGGTCACCGCATCTCCAGTCTGAGTGGTCGGTGTCTCCGAGCTACAAGACAAACAGAGACAAAAAGCAAAGCATTTAGCAAAAACGTGATTTATCTCCTCTAGCACTCAGCTGAGAGAAACATCATTTAACCAGTAGGATAGTGCCAGCTTCTTTAATACTAATGCTTTAATACTTCTGTTTTTGTCCTCTTCTGTGATGGTGTGCTGTGAAGTCTAACTTTGTCTAGTAAACAAAGATTTGATGTGCTACAAAAGACATATAAAGCATGATAATGTGACTTCTAAAGGGGAACATCATCTGTTTTAAGGTTTCTATGTCCTTCTTGTTTCCCAGTTTAGTGAGAAGAACAATTTTAAAGTCTCGTATTTATGTCCAACATTTACCAAACCCTACAAGTCCACAAACCCTGGAGCCTCATTCATTGTCAATGTACACAAAACAGCTGTGAATCCTTAAAATAGTTGGCATTCCCCTTTAAATTTATTAAACTGCAACAATTCCCATGCAGCTGGACTGAGGAATTTTTATTAACAAAAACCACACAACTGTAAAATAAATAAATAAACATGCAGCAAGCCAAAGAAAGCAGAGATGATAAACAAGCCACGCACGCGAGCACTTCCCTTTCTCTTCTCCAACCTCTAAAACTGGCCAGCGTCCTGCCAGAGTAGAAAGCAACAAAGCTCAGTTTTCTGTCTCTGGGATGGAGTCATTAAAGCTCTTCAAAATCTCTAGATTAGACTAAAGTTGACTTTTTTTTAAATTTATTTTCTACTCTGATACATTTTGATCTTAGTGCTAATGCCAACGAACACTGTCAGATATATGCTGTAAACATAGACATAGTGTTAAATAATGAGTTAACCACTGTTCTTTCAACTGTCTGAACTATGTCATGCATTTATTTACCACACACAGCTCAGAAAGTCTGATGTTTGCCCCTCAGCTGGCTTCCAGAAAAGGGGGTATGGTGGGGTGGGGGTGTTAAAGAAACAGTTTAGAGTACAATGTCAGTCACATGTGTTTAATCTCTGTAATATTCTCGATATTTATATTTGTATATATATATATATTAGGACCTGATTTCACTTTGTAATATATACATTATTTAATTTAGTTCAGTCATTTACCCTCCTTATTGATTTGGAGCAATTTCCTTAGAAATTTATAGAGTATTCTGATTCTGAAGGGCTGCATAGAGATTCAGCAATTATAAATAATAAGTAATAAGTTCTGAAATCCCAGAGTCAGAATATAGAGCACTAAATTAGCAAAATAGGTCTCCTAATTCCACTGCCTGACTCCAGCCCAGCTCTGTGGTTGGTGTTCAGTGTCTGCAGGCCTACCTGCATGGAGTAGGGCTGATGGGCACACTGCAGCAGGTGATCAAACACAACATAGATGTAAATACACAACCACCACTTTTAGTTTTTGAACTAATCACTGCTGGTACAAAAAGTCTAACAAACCATTTACCTCTGTGTCAGGTCCTCAGAAATCTTATTGATTTAATACTGATTAAACTTAATTTAATACTGTTAGGCTATACATAGTGCATAAACTCATAATTTGCTTTGAACTAGCGTTGTACAATGTGTTGTATTGAAGTGAGATATTTTATTTTAAAGACCACAGACTTATTAAGTTAAAAATAATGTTCTAGGAAAGCAATAAACTAAGAATTACATGTATCCATCCATTCTCTTCCACTTATCCAATTCAGGGTGGCGCGGCGCTATCCCAGCTACCATAGGGTGAGGGGCAGGGTACACCCTGGACAGGTCGCCAGTCTGTCACTGGGCCAACACATAGAGACAGACAACCATTCTCACTCACATTCACACCTATGGGTAATTTAGATTCAACAATTAACCTAACCCCACTAACTGCATGTCTTTGGACTGTGGGAGGAAGCCGGACTAATATGGACGCAAATATGGGGAGAACATGCAAAGTCCACACAGAAAGACCCTAATGGTTGAATTATACTTAGGACTTTTTTGCTGTGAGGCAACCGTGCTAACCACTGTGTGACCGTGCTGCTGAATTACATGTAGACTGTTTATAATTAGCAGTATTATCAAAGTTGTTGATTAAGATTTTGTTGCTTGAAAGCTTTCAAAGTTCAAATCGTTAAATAGTCCTGTCTGACCTGACAACATTATTTACTGTTTTTTACTTTTTAAGATATCCATGGACATGACACGTCACTTAGTGATTTGTTAAATTTATATTTGTACAGTTTACACAATAACACATTTGACTGTCTAATTGCTGGTAACTTACATGTTCATTGCAGCAACCAGAGCAACTCTCTGAAATACAGAAAAACACATAATCAGCAAAGAATATCACCAAAATTTACAACTTTCCAAAGAAGCACGAACATGGTTTGCTTTAGCCTGTTAATTTTAATTTAACGTGGAAGGGGAAGAATGGAAAACCACAGCAATCTTCTTTTTGTAAATGTATAATGATGAGAACAGTGGAGAATAAAACGTTTTGCACCAATACCACTATCTGAAAGCAGGGCTGCAACTTATAAATATTTTTATTATTGTTTAAGATATCAATTAATGGATCAATTATTAGCTTTAGTGGTGTTCTTACACTCCTGATGAGACTCCGATGCTCCTCTGATTGGCTGAAGAATCTGCCTATGTCCATGACACTGATGGAGCCATCCATGCAGCGGCTCACCCAGCCCTGGTACTCATCCCGCTCAGGCAGCCGATCCCAGAAGATCTTAAAGGCCTCCCAAACTGTCTCCTGACACACTAAAACACACAGAGACACCAATTACTGAAGATAATAAGATCCTGAAAGGTAAAATTTACTGTTGGGTCCACATTAAAAAACAAAAGTCTGTAAGGCTGTCACTTGTCAGGTTTGTGGTCCTCACAAAGCTACATGACTATTTTAGACATAATCTTGCCCAAACAAGCAGCTTTTTGTCCGCCTCCATTTTTTTTACTTCAACAATTAATAGCACCTCTGCAAGCTCTGACTGATAGGACTTTTAACCTATATCTGACGTAATGTAAATGTGAAAACTCAACAGGTAAATCATATCAACCCTCAAGTCTGAAGAGAAGAGGAATTATTATGTATTTACTGTGTTGATACTTGAAGAAGGGCTAGCTGCCTTTTATTTTTACTTATATGGACAGTGGATACATCTTTTCTTGAGTGAGTTAAAAATCCCTTTATAATAAGAATAAGTGAATGTTTTCCATAAGCTGCTGTGATATTTTACCAGATTTCTTTACTCAAATACATTTGTGAAAGAGTCAAAAAGATTTTTTGGGGGATGAAAGGGAAATTATCACAGAGGAATCTGCAAAAAGACCCAAGGTGGTCAAAAACAATGGAAATCAAAAAAGAGACTAAAATTAGACTATAAATGTATATAAATATCTGTAATTCCATATGATTAGAGGCTTCTTTAGATAGTGCTCTGTTATTCAACCAAGTGGTGCTCCACTCAAGTGTTTTTGAGAGGGTACAACATTTCCATATTATAAATCCGGTCCACATCTAAAGCAAGTACATTTTAAAAACACCTTTGTCTTCAGGCCAAGATCCATCCACCAACAAAAAAGCCATGGTGCTGCTTCTATTTGTTGCTTTTTGTCACTTTGAACACATTTCTTAATGCTAATCTCCTGGGGCTACAGTGGACATATAGTAGTTGTAGTAAGTTACATAGTAATGTGAATGTGCTCAAAGAAATCAATGAATCTGAAGAGAAAGTGCAATGGAAAAGAAACGAGGCGGGAAAGAAACATGATGGATGGTTGATGAGATGTAATTTCAACCACATCTGCACTTTGAGGGAAAAAAATAATAATTCATCTGAGCAGAGCTGAGGTGATTGATGAAACCCTGTAATAACGTCTGTTTCTTCAGCAATATCACATTGCTGTTGCTTTATACAAAGTTTGAACCAAGAATACCCCCCAAAGGAAAGAAAACTGAATGTGTGAATGTGTTTAAGGGGTTGTTAGTTATTGGTGTGGGATTAGTTTTTAGTTAGCATCATGCCAGCAGAAACCACGTCCAAGCATTGATGAAATCATAAGCATAACTAATTTTAATGTTATAATCATGCACATGACACAGGAACAGTATGTGATCAGAGAAATTTAAATCAAGGAACAAATTCCAGCAATGAAGGTCAGAAAATAGCATCAGTATAAACGAGGAAATACTTTTTTTGTTTCTGGCATCAGAGAAAAGAAACACAGATGTTTCATTTGCTATTTAATTAAAAAGATTTTTTGTTCTGTACAAAATGTCATTTATGAGTCTGTTTACATGAATTCAATCAAATCAACAGTAAGATTATGAGGCATATGAAAGAAATCCTTTCATGCCAAAAGCATTCAGTGCTTGTTTCTGAAACCTTCCCCGTTGTGTTTACTTTGGGCTTTTCTTTCCCATTATTACTGATCATTGTATTATTTTAATGTTCAGGTTATGAGACGGATGAATTACGAAGCTGTTGTATTTGTGGTTCTTTGTGTATTTGAGTGCATTGTGTTAAATCCTGTTGCATGACTCCTGCCAACATTTGCTGTAACAGCAATAAAGTTAATTTAGCTCATGTGTTGGTCCAGTTTGCTTTGGCTCATTTTGCTGCTATTTAAAAAAAAAATCTGAACTTTTTAATGATTGTTCTGTTTCTTTTGACCCAAATAGAGACTGGGACACACAGAGACATGTTTTCACTGTAATAAAGGTTTGAAGCTGATTGTTCACCTTGGAACCATGTGAGCTTTACTCAGTGGTTTCTTTAAGTGCTTAAGTCTGTGTTGTTGTGTTAAGGTGTAAGCCATAGCTAGACTTAAATACAGAGAGATGTTTTTTGATTGATATAGAGGGATAAACTTGATTAAAGTAGAGATTTGACTCATGCTTTAAATCTGCTCAGAAAATCCCAGCAACTCAACACAATTGACAGAACTGAAACCAAAAGGCTGAACGAGCTGATCGGCTTGTTAAGAAACAGTGCATCTGGCGTTGCATGACCTCTGACCTCTGCCACAGAGGTGACAGCAGACTTGCTGCTCAAGCTTATGCTTTGATCAGAGCCTAAGTGAAAACGCTCTAGCTTTGAAGAGAAGATGAAGGGGAAAACCTTGTCACCTGCAGGCACAAATATCAAAATTAAGGCAGGTGAATCGAAAGAAGTGCAGATGGGCAGAGAGATGTACCTCTGAGATGGAAGTAGCTGAGGTGGTTCGCAATAGCTTGGTCGAACGTCTCCTGAGAGCAAAGCTTGACTCCGCTGGGAAACAAGACGTCCCTCTTCCTTCGAGATAGAGCGCTGTGTCGTCTGTATAACAACTCATCAGAGGCTGCCATTGGCTCTCCTGTAGATTCTCCACTCTCCTCCAAACCCACCTCCAGCTCAAAGGTGGCATCTGTGGTTTAAATTAATATTAGTGCTGCTTTATACTTAATATTAAGGACAGCTAAAGTACATGGTACTGCTTTACAGGTACCTGACTGTTACCTTAAGGTTACTTCATATTTAAAAACAAATTATAGGTTCTGTCTGTTTTTGTCAGGTTTTTTATTTTTTTATTTTATTTCTGTTAGGACCGGAACTAACAGTGCTTTAAATTATAATCACCTAATCAAAATATTTGCCAAATAGCCTTCGGTTGATTGACTAGTTGATAAATCAGTTGATTTTAAGGGAGCAGGTTTAAACTTTATTGAAGGTTATTGTTGCAGTTTGAGTTTGACCTCATTGTAACATAGTAAGTTACCACACTGAGTACCAGAGGTATAATTCTATTGTATTTTCCTCCTTAAACTCTATCCCATCCTTCCCATTTTTAATGTGTCACTGGTCTTCCTTTGACGGCCCATTTGAGGGCCACACCTCCCCAGATTAGGAGCCGCTGATTAAAATAGCTCCAGCAGGAAAACACTACTGAAGATTCGATGTGTCAGGATCAATAATCTGACCAAAGTAAATAGAATTAGTGCTACTCCAAACTTTCACTTGACTGATGGTGCTGTTTTTCCCCTGTTATGCAATTCTTCAGCTCATACTAGAAAATGTTTATTAAAAGAATCAAAGCATGTGATACATCGGTCATGACTTTTACTGTGATATTTTGCTGATGACACTGTGCTTTTACTTTGTAAAGCAGCACTATCATTCAGAGCATTTTATCAATAAAAGGAAAGAAATAACTGTTAATAACATCAACATACAGACCTGTTTCCATGTACAAGCAGCATGAAAGCAGCATGGCCCCAAGCACCCACAGCACCAGCTTCCCACACTTTCCAACCATTTCTCAAAAAAAAAAAAAAAACACCTCCCCAAAAGATCCACCCTGGACTCGCTGCTCCTTATTTCCACGTTCTCAGCTCATCAGCAACTTCCCGCTCATCCATCCACCAGTTCTCATGGCAGAAGAAACAGAAAAAGAGAAGACAAAAGAGATCCTAAAGTGTGTGCTGTCTGCAGGCCGCTTCCTCTCAGGTGAGCAGATGGGACTTTGCTGCTGCTGCCGGAGATTTTTTTCCTCTTCGCTCTAATCCTATTTGTTAAGCTGCTGGAGTGGATGACTGTCAGAGCCACGTTGCGATGGGCCAGTCAGAAGGAAATCAAACAAACAGGCTGTGTCGGGCAAGGAGACAGTGCACAGGGTTAAAACTTAGTGGTAAAATATAGAGTTAAGCCCAAGAAAATGTGAGGCGACAGGTTAAATCCAGACCTAGGTAACAACATTAACCACCACAACCATGCTGAGAGAAACAGAAAATAATCCTAACTAACAAATGACTGAAAAAAAAATTGAAGCCCTGTCAGATAATCCCGTTTATTTTGTTTTTGTGCTCAAATGCAGCTCTTTAAAGTCCAAGATACATTATCATTAAAATAAATCTTCTACAAAAAAGGTAATTTCCTTAAAATAAAATGAAGTTCCACCAAAACAACTGACATTTGTGAAGGAAAAGTTCTTCTGTGGTGCAGCCAGAACGATGATGACCATAAATGATCCTTTCCTTTATTTTTCTAGGAGCAAATTCCATTTCCTCTAAGACAAAGTCGCTGGCTGATTCCAGCTACAATCCAACTCAAATGCACCACAAGTCAGTCAAAATCAATGTACAATCCAGCAATAATCCAGCTAGATTGCATCAGAAATCAATAACCAGAATAGGTCCATAATCCAGTCTGAGACCAGTTTGAATTCAGATGGAATCCTACCAAAGTCTAGTCTGGTTCCATTTTTAGCTCAGTAATTGTTATGTTTAAAATATCTTGCATTTATTTTCTGGAGCTCCATACATTTCCTCTCCACTAAGAAAAAAAATTGCTGTCTGAATACATCTACACTCCAGCCTGGTGAAATACTAACACGACTGATTCTAATAATGACCCTAAATTAGTCTTCTATTTATATTTATGGGATCAAGTCCATTAAGGCAATTTTGTATCTAGAATACATCATACAAGAATCCAGCGACTGAGCTGAGATTGAGTGGTTGCGTTGAGTGGCGTTTTATAGTCACATTTCTGATCAAATAGGACAAAGTTAGTGTCTGATTCCAGCCACAATCCTGCCAGATTACAATGAAAACTCAAAGAATGTAGCCATAATCCAGTCAATCCATCTGAATTGACTGGTTGTATAAGTGACCATGCATCCTGTACATATTTTCCTGGGGTTATGTCCACTGATTCATATTTTCCAGCAGAATCCAGTCAGAAATCAGCAACATTCCAGGTAGATTACAGCCAAAATCCAACCAGTACATGGTTTCAGTACAATCCATCCATCTTAAATCCAGATGAAGTCAGTGGTGGCAGTGACAACCATAAATATGTCATGTTTATTTTTCCTTGAGTAACATTACAGTCTTCACAGTCATTTTAAAAAAAGGGGTAAAAAAAAAAACAAAACACTTAAGTGACACTAAATATAAAATAAATTCTCAAAAGCTCCTGAGAGCATGAATAACCCAGTCAACCCGTCTTTACTCAGATTACTTTGTTAGGTTTTGCATTTTTCAGATTATTAATAAGGTTTAAATGATTTATTAATTATATTTTTTATGATTTCAGCAGAATGTGCTAACACGCTAACAGATGTTAAAGATTAAGCTCACAATCGTTTTCAAAACCATTTTAATCAAAATCTTTCTGTATTTTAACATTTTTTGCATTCAATAACAAAAAACATACAAACAAACAAACTACAATACATGACAAAAATCAAACCATTTAATTTTGCATAACATGTCACATGTCCATATTAACATAATTTACATGAAATATACAAAAATTATATGTATTATTATCTTTACATGATCTACTTTATCATATCGATATTTTCTACAGACATAGTGAAGAAACCTAAAGAAACATGCAGGTTGAATGACAAGAAACGGAGAAGGATTTATTCGAGCTATGACTTCCAGTTTTCCGTCTTCAGGGCTCACTTAGATTATTTTGGGAGGTCTCATAGGGGCCATAAATCTGTCTAATCTCAACCTCCCATCGCTAAGATTAGCCGGTTCTATGGCCTAAAAAAAAAAAAAAGTCAGTCAGTCAATCAGTTCAGAGTCAAACCAGGACCAGAACCAGAGAAGAGACAGAACAGCCCCAATACATCCAGGACCAACGCCCGAACAAAAGAGGGTTGGACCAAGTCTAGATGTAAGAGATACCAGAGTTCATCCAAGCCTGGGACCAACAGAGGGCCACACTGGGCTGGACTATGACTCAGGAGTCAGGGGCTCCTTAACCAGAGTCAACTGGAACCAAAAAGGGACCAAACTGGGCTGAACTGATGTCAGACCAAGGCCAGACAACAAACACATTTAGGCCAGGAGAGTACAGGCCGACATTTCTAAGGTGTCTTTAATGTTTTTAAATTTTAACAAGTTTATTTTTGTTAGAAAACTTTATTCTCTAACAGCTGTTATGTTGACATGCGGCGGCTCTATGGTGCATCCCACCTCAGTTAAAGTTTTTTTGGGCTCCATAGAGGTGAGTAATTAGCGGTCATTATGCTCATCCACTAATCTTGGCCTCTACTGTGGCGCTCCTGTCTTTAAATGTATAAGCCCTCCTTGAGGCCGGTGCCCCCTCCTGTCTGATCCACTTAATAAGCGGTAAGCCGATTGGTTCTCAGTGGGGGGGCGCTCTGCTAAAACCACAGAGATTACCCAACTAGCCCACACAATCGAACGAACACAAAAGCAGACATAAACATGTTTTAACACAGACACAGAAATAAAAACATCGCATCATGTTCGAACAGGAGACGACTAAAACATGAAGAAACGGAGAAAAATAAATTTAAAAAGTAAATTAAAGAAGTCGGAATGCTAGAAAACACCAAGACACTCACTGGTAGTAACCCAGTGACCTCTGACCCCAGCTTAGACAAACACCAAGGACACACTCTCCTCACTTCACTTACAACTGATTACCAATTAATTCATCAATTACACGCTTCACTCTGCAGCACGCCAGCTCCAGGCTTTCAAAATAAGAGCCTCACATTGTAAAATTTAAATAAATACTTTTATTTAAAAACCAGGAAGTGTCAGTATAAATTTATGTACATTCACAGACATAGTTTGACTGAGTGAAACAGGAAGCAGTCAATGAAGCAGCAGCAGCGGCGGTGACGAGTTAGCGGCTTGGCGACGGTTTTGGCTCCTCCTCCTTCAGCTGACTCTGGTGCAAACTCATGATTAGACTCCGGATCTCATCGCGCTTCTGTCGCGCTCGCTGCCGCGGAAACCAGCTCTCCAACCGCAGCGGGATGTCAAAGTGCACCACAGGGTTCTGGAGGAGCCAATCAGAGAGCTCGATTAAGCCTCAGACCATCAGGACATCAGACAAAGCGCACCATGAAGACGATAACAGAGCGACGAGAAAAAAAAGCAAGTTTCTTTAAGTTTATAATTCTAATTAGGGCTGCACGATATTAGGAATACCTGCGATGTGCGATAACTGTGATCAGTACTGCGATAACGATATGACTTGCGATAAAATATATAGCAAAAAAAAAAACCGATACATAATTTCCATTTTACTGCAACAGTTTTATTTAATGAAAGCTGCTGTATTAGCAGTGTAACAACAAAGTGCACTTTAACATTGAAACATTGCCCCCATAAAAAAATTTCTGAGGTTTGAATTCTGAAAGACATCCTTCCCGGTCTCTAGAATTTGTTTTAAATAAACATAACTTAAATTATACTGCAAATTATCTCAGTGCAGCTGTTCATCATTTTACCACTCACCAAGTAGTTATGATCTAAGTCAAAACTGGTGAGTAAACTTTACTGTAGTTCTTTACTGTAGCTCAGTTCAAACATGACGGTCTTGCGGCATGTTTCATACATTTGTGGAATGGCGACATGGGAAAAGTAGTTTCGTGAGGGGATGCGGTATCTCCGGTCCACTTTATGTATCAGACTGGTGAAGCCCTCTCTGCTAACTGTATGTATAGGCATCATGTCTTTGTCACAAAATTTGTAATGGCCTCTGTTATTTCTTTGTACCGCTTCGGCGTTTTCTCATAAGGAGTTCCACTTGAAAAACTCTGATACAGAGACGGCTGTTGGACTGCTGTGCTCTTTATCTTAACATTAGCAACCTTTGTTTGGCTAGCCCTGTCTTTCTGGAACTATTCAAACAGTTCTCTGTGGTTGTATTGAAGATGATGGTGGAGATTCGTGGCAACCACCAGAGGATCAGAATAGTGTTCGGCAAGTTTTGCAGAGAACCTGTGTTTGGAAAACGTCGTCTTTATCAAATTCAAAGTACCTCCAAATAAGCAAGGTACTATTTTTTTCTTTTAGGCACGAGTTCATAGTCAGTAGTGTTCTCGTCATGCGTCTCGCTCTCAGCCTTTACAACTCTGCTGCAGCGTTGTTCGCTCCCCACCTGCGTATGAAGCGGGCCTCTAATCCATTTGATTGGTTAATGCCGTTAAGGGCTCTGTTCGACTGGTCAAATGTGTAAAGGGGATTCTTTGATTGGTAATTTTTTTTTAAAGCACGTGTGTAAACATTTTAAGGTACCCAATTATCGCAGTTTACGCCGTCTTTTGCGATGGGCCCATCGCGCAGGCTGATATCGCGATGACAATAAATTTTCGATTTATTGTGCAGGCCTAATTCAAATATTATTTTTAGTCATAACGTCAGAAAAACGCACTTGAAATACGATTCAACACATTTACCCCCAAAAACATAACAAATAAAAGGAACCTAATTAATATTTTCTTTACCAGCATCATTCTGTGATTTTACACATTTTTTTCACATATTTCAATAGAATTTTTACGGTGTAATAAATATTATTATGATACAATTTATTTAAAAAAAAAAAAATGCCAAAAATAAATAATTATTTGGAGACTTTGCTTCACATTTTTATAATTGCAATTTATTGTTTTCTAGATAATTAAATACATTCTTGACATGCTTCACACAGTTTATTACTCTTTTGTTCTCTATATCTTTTGTTAATATTTTGTTAAAAACATTCACACCTGTGTGTGTGTGTGTGTGTGTGTGT